GGAGATATGAGAGTCTGGGCTCTGCAGGGGCAGCAAGAGGTATGATATGCGCCAACTTTCTGTACATAGATTTGTCGTCAACTTACAAATTTCATTAGATAGAGAAGCCCAACGAGCTCAGGGTCTATCGGGTTCCGATGCTACGGCAACTTTCTGCCATACTTTTGACCTTACGAAAAGGTTATCCACCACCGATGTAAAGGGTCAAATCAACTTTCACCAGTCCATGACTCTCTCAGGTCCTGGAGCTAAACAGACATCAGCATTTAAGCTGTTTATCAGAGACTTGTCGTTGAAGCTGGCAAATTCTCCACCCTTATCGGTCCATCGGATAATAGTCCCTAACCTCTTGTCCCCGACGATGTATTCGAGCTCGTCATCCCTCCCGCAGGAAGTGCTACAGTTCTTACACGGTCTGAGAGCCCTGTTGAGACAATATCCTAAAACCCTAACCGCTGTTCTCACATTACCGCTCTCCCTTTATCCTCGAACAACAGGGCTCACGCGGTGGATAGAATTACTGTGTGACGGTGTGCTTGAGTTTATACCACTGCAATCCACCACTATCCATAAGCCTCCACCATCATCGAAGAGTGAGAAGAAAGACGACGAGAAAGTTCAAGGTCTGATTAAAGTCCACAGTCTGCCGATTTTCCATGAGAAAGGAGGCGGGTCGCACTCGGCTCTGGACGATCAATCCTTCAGCCTTAGTAGGTCAAGGGGATTAATTATCAAGCCTTTCTATCTTCCCCCAGCCGACAGCGATGAGAACGAGCCCAAGCCGGGAGATTCTGCAAAGCCGAGCATGGATTTTTAAAGCACGTCCAATAAGGAAGGCCAAATTTCACAACCAAGTTGCTCGGATAGGAGGAATCCACTTGATAACAGCAAATCTTTGGAAATGAATACGTTGCATAGATACATATATCTGCATAACAGAACTCTTTTCTGGAGTCTCCACCCACACGTCCCCAAAACTTTTCTCCAAATTTTGAAGCAGGCCAAACTTTTTCAACACTCAAACCACAACAACAGGTGAGTCAACAAATTTTCTGTCCTTTTCCGCTGGTCGTATCATGATTATACCCAATCAATATCTGTCAATCCACTGAACAAAATATTCTGTTGATAACATCTTTATCTGGTTTTATGATTCTACACCCATCAAACTTTATCGTCCTGTCGCAAACATTAGGGGAGTTTACCAGCTAACCCAATCTCAGACAGGGCATCTGCCAGAGCAACCATGGCTTCAGACTCATCTAATGACCAGCCTTTAGTGAGAATATCAAAGGCCGCCGGAAGGTACATGCTTTTCGACATAGACGACGTGATGTATTTGCGCAGAAATCACAACATATGCTCCGTCTTCGTAGGAACCATCCCCCAGAATCCTCAACAGAATGTCTTCATGGGACTTCCCTTGGAACTCATGCCGGAAGAAGCACAAGTTCTGGTCGACAAGAAGGTAGCTTATGTCGTCGACGATGCAAAGTTCCACCCGTCTCGACTTACTACGTTTGATGAGACGTCACGACGTGCCTATGTACAATTACTCAATAATGAGGGTAAGAAGATGCAGATGGCTGTGATCGAGAGCCAGAACAAGAATAGACCCAAGTTTCAAGAAGGGAAGTCGAAAAAGAAGAAAAAGAAACAAACAGAAGAACTAGAGCGCTCATCTGCCAACGACAAAGTCGGCGATGGATTAGACGCAGACGAGAGCAGTAGCCTCTTCGAATCACCACCTACGCTAGGCAAACCAACCAACAAATTGCCTGGGGAGGTTGAGGGATATATACTCACGCCGACTACTAGCAGCTTTCTATCGTCATCCTCACCACGCGCAGAGTCCCCGGCTGCCGTAGATGTGCCTGTATCTTATCCCTTATTTGCACACTTGCACGATAAAGGATATTATATGATGCCGGGCTTGCGCTTTGGGTGCGACTACAACGTGTACCCTGGTGACCCCCTGCGTTTCCACAGTCACTTTGCTGGCGTACACATCGGCTGGGATGAAGAGATCACGATAATGGACCTTGTGGGAGGCGGGCGACTTGGGACCTCTGTCAAGAAGGGGTATCTCATTGGAGGAGCCGTAGCTGACGGAGCAGAGGTTAAAGAAGATGGCCACGATATTTCACAAGATGAAAAGACTCAGCAACCTATAATTAGAGGCGGCCCAGTGGCGCCTCCAGTCAGGACATTCTGTCTAGAATGGGCAGGTATGTAGCGATTCCTAGATAGTGTCAGGCTATGAGATAATGAATAGTTCTTGAGTTGGTCCAAATCGCGTCAAAAAGTAATAATGTGATCCGATGACGTCATAAACGTTACTGTCCTACTACGTATACTAAGACCTATGTAGGTTCAGCTATGCTTTCTCGACCTATTCCCATTGCAACAGAAATTCACTCGAACAAATCTGTCCTCAACGGATTAAGGTTTTCCTAACATGCCACGATGTCTCTGCCATTTGCTAAGCACATGTAGCTGCGCATTTCTGTGAGTTGTACGTGTTGCCAAGAGGTTAATGTATCATGTGGCAAACTTGAATGCGCTGTGACTTCTTCCGGCTTCAAGTTCTCGCCCCAGATCCCTGGATTTCAAGCTGCCTCTAACCAATCAATTTACACAGCCCAATAGGTACCTCTTAGCGTACGAGAGACAAGCTCGACAAGGTACGATTTCTGGTACGGTTTGATAACATGAGACCCGACGTCACAACCCCACATGTCTTTTAATCCCACTCACCTGCCTTTAAGATTGAGTTCAGGACAAGATCTTTCCAGGAACCGCTCGCAAACCCTGCGATCCGTAAATGCACAATAAATATAATAAGAATGTCCAAGGATACAAAGAACACGTCGAGAGTCGATACGGCCGAAGTTGGTTCCATCCACGACATCGGACCACCGCCCGTGGATGAAGACTACGTGAACCCTGCAGAAAAGAGCCCACGTTGGCTTCTGGGGCTCCACGCTGGCGCCCTTCGTTTCCTCGCTAACATCGGGTTCAGCCTCGGCAACCGCGCAGGCATACCCGCGATATCCCCTACAGAAACAATCTGGCTAGATTCTACGCTGAGTGGATGGAAAGGCAAAGAGAGGTTCAGCGCAGACGTATGGGCCCCGCCGGAAAACTCGCAGCCGTCTAGCGATGTGAAGAGACCAGTTATAATTAATTTCCACGGTGGTGGTTTCATTATCGGCCATGGAAGCGATGATACGCGATGGGCCAATATCCTCGTGAGCACGCTAGGAGCCGTGGTATTCTCGGTTAACTACCGTCTTGCTCCGAGCTATCCATTCCCTACGGCCGTGGAGGACTGCGTCGACGCCATTGTGCAGATATCTAGGCTTGCAGAAAAATACAACATCGATACCGATCGCATCATACTCACCGGTTTCTCTGCCGGCGGAAATCTGGCCTTGAGTAGCTGGATTGCCTTGGCAGACCCAGCGAAGTGGAACTACGAGATACCGGAGCCCATACCCAAAATTGCTGGCATGGTGGTCTATTACCCTTTACTTGACTATACTTTGGACCGACCGAAGAAACGATTGACTTGCAAACACCCCGAAAAGACGCTATCGACAACCCTGACGGATTTGATCGATGCATCGTATTTACACCCTGCAATTCCAACGCGTGAGAGGACTGATATTCGACTATCACCTGGACTGATGGCGGATGAACTCATAGACCGACTACCGCCCATTCATCTGTGTCTCTGTGAACACGACATGGGTCTAGCTGAGGCCAAGCTATTCGCAGAAAGAGTCGAGAAGCGTGGCAAGAAGATCAGCGTCCGGGTTGTTGAGGGCCAAGAACATGCTTGGGATAAGCCCCTACCTCTAGCCCCAAAGGACAGTGTCGCGTTCGAATACGACATCTCGATAGCTGCTATAAAGAGCTGGTTTGATGAGTATAAGGACTTGTAGGATCCCATTAACGTGTCAAAAAGCTCGTTTTATATGGATCGCGACGCTGTCACAAAGATGAGGTGCGGGAGTATACACGATCCCCGGAAGCTCGAGATGTGTCGCAAGACTACGTCATTGCAAGAGCGGCTATTCTCATAATGAGATGGCCCCTATTTAGTTACAACCCTCACCTATTACCACTTCTACGCTGTGGTAGGGAATCTTGGGTTGGAAGTTGGCGTATTTCCGATACTCAAAAGGCGAATTCACTTCTGATCCATGGCCACACCAGCACTATGAGCGATGCGATACCCATTCCGCTATTTGAGCCAGTCTTTTCAAAGACAAGGGCCGATGTTTCTGTTAGGCGCCCCCGATCCTTGCTGAATGTTGTCCGGTTCCACCCCTTATCTTTTACGACGAAAGAAGGACATCGGCGATTCAACATTTACTCTTACTTACCCCATCTATTTTCATTACCTTGGAAAGATACGTCTGTACAGATGACTAGAATATATGAAGCAAGTAGATAAAGCAACACATAGGCATTAAATAAGCCACCTGGTCCCAGCGATTCTACAAACTGCAAATGAAGACTGGATGTCAATCTCCCTGAAGGCTGTGTAATAAGATTCTTTTTAGTAGAGCAATATAATTAACACCTGAATACGCTTTTTTATCTTGGGAGGTTCTGGTGAAAAGGTGTAGTAAATCCGCCATATGCATCATCCACATGCTTTGTTTGCTTCATCTGTCACATAAATCACACACAGGCATTCTGAGGAGCTGCGAATGTCTATGTCTAACACAACATTATATATATTTTTAAGACAATATGTAAGCTATGACTAATCTTAGTTTCTTATGCTGGATATGATCAGTACTTAAACTTCGGCATGTATTCTATTCAAGGTAATACGTTGAATGTACGCCGCATTGCCATGTAAGAGGCACGGCCCGCCGAAATACTAGTCTAGGGTACTAAGACAGGTTTCTTATGCAGGGCAAGACAAACAAGCAAGCAAACAAGCAAGAAAAAAGAATAACAAGAAAAAAGAATAACAAGCAAAAAGCTGTCGCCCGGGTTCGAACCGGGGATTCAGGAAATTCAAGAACTATTGTTCATATCAAAATCCTACGTGCTAACCACTACACTACGTCAGCGTTGGTAGAAGTCCATTCTCCAATGCTTCGAGATGGAAATCAAATCGTGCAAAGTGCACTCTTATACCATACGATTGTGGCACTTAAACGAGTTCTCAGGTCTAATAAAATTGAACAACACGCAAACCTAACTATGGCTTTTCCGTGCTACTTCACCATCGCCATTTTGAATATGGGAGTACTCATATGCTTTGTCTCATCGCTTTCCCAGGGTAAAGGTAGATGAAGTTGACTTTTGCCGTTCATGTTCTGAGGACAGGGAAACAATGGAACGCTTATGAGTAGAACCATAACAAGGATCATAGCTGCACAAGGCCATTCAAAATGAATATAAAAAGAAGAAGACTCTTCTCAAGAATATGACTCTTGCAAGACAGATAGATACCTCCTTAAATATACCTTCTGAGAAAAGGCGTCGGAAATATTAATCTCGCCGCAAGGAAAACTCGCCGGGGAAAATCGCCGGGAAATCGGCGGTTTTTAAAAGGCGGCGGGGTAGGTAGGTTCGGAAAAGACCATTCCTCCATCCATGGCGGGGTCGACGAAGGGACCTCCGCGCGATGGCGACATCACACTTATTTGGTGCGATATCGTCAAAAGTTACAACCAACATCCACCCGGTGTTTTAATTAGATAACGTGCTGTACTGGCATTGACGAATGAGAGAGCAAATATCTAAGCCGCATTTCCTCTGACTTTTCTTCTTCTTTTTATCTGGCTGGTCGCAATTCCTACCCTGGGTATTCACACATCCTATATGCCCCTCCATCGCACAACAGCCTCAGCAATCCATACACTACGCACGCTCCTTCATAGCCGGTCTCGCCCAGGATCCAGTCCGCCTCTCTCTTTTCTTAAAAATACCAAAACAATCTTCACACCTCAATTCACATCGCGCACCATGGCAACGGCAGTCGCGAAGCGCCTCGCCGGCAAGACGGTGCTGATCACGGGTGCGTCTTCCGGCATCGGCCGCAGCACGGCGTTCGAGTTTGCGCGCACGGCGGCGCCCGCGGGGGGTCTCAAACTCGTGCTCACGGCGCGCCGCGTTGACACGCTTAAGCAGATTGCTGCCGAGATCCAGGCCGAGGTCGGCGAGGGCGTCAAGGTGCTCCCTGTCCAGCTTGACGTGAGCCAGCCTGCTGAAGTGCGTGGGTTTGTGGACAAGTTGCCTGCGGAGTTCAAGGAGATTGATGTACTGGTTAATAATGCGTGAGTATTCATTCTCTGGTTGTTTGACTATCTATTCTCTCTCTCTCTCTCTTTCTATGCATCTCCATTGTGAACTACAAAATAAGCTAGTTCGTAAGAACTGGAGAGCAGATGAATACACATGATTGAAGCGTCAATGACTCAATAAGAATGTAAATGATGCTTGGAATATCAGACTAATACAGAACAGCGGCCTCGTCAAAGGCGTAGCCAAGGCCCCCGAGATCGCCGAGGAGGACATCGACGTCATGTTCAAGACAAACGTGACGGGCCTGATCAACGTGACGCAGGCGATCCTACCTATCTTCCTGCGCCGCCCCAACGGCGGCTCGGGCGACATCATCAACATCGGCAGCATCGCCGGCCGCGAGCCCTACCCCGGTGGTGGCATCTACTGCGCCACCAAGGCCGCCGTCCGCAGCTTCACCGACTCCCTGCGCAAGGAGCTCATCGCCACGCGCGTGCGCGTGCTCGAGATCGATCCCGGCCAGGTTGAGACTGTATGTGTACCTACCGTCCTTGTATTGAGACTTTTCCCTCTTCCTTCATGGCTAGTATAGCCGGTCTCTGCTGGATCTAAAGAACTAATATTGATATAGGAGTTCTCTGTTGTTCGGTTTTATGGCGATAAGGCTAAGGCCGATGCTGTATATGCGTGAGTTTTACCAATCTCTCCTCATGATTAGATATCTTTCGTTGCTAATGACACTTTTAGAGGTGTTGATCCCCTGACCCCGGATGACATTGCCGAGGTTGTTGTTTTCGTTGCCGGAAGGAAAGAGAACGTTGTGGTAGCCGACACGCTCATCTTCCCCAACCACCAGGCTGGTGCCGGTGCCCTGCACAGAAGATCAACATAGCAAGGGAATAACACGCCCTTGTATTCACGAAATTTATAGACAGTGAACCAAGCGGGTGCTTGTACGTATACTATTGAACATAATTGATCATTGAAGACTACGAGTTTCTATTACTGCTTACAACTCTGTCTACTTCTCTTACCTCAGCTTCAGTGCAACGCGGTAGCTTTGACAATTTGTGATATAGTAAAACCTGATATAAACGTGTCAGCGAGGTCATAAAGCTGGCTCGATTTGAAACATAGAATGATGTGTTTAGTTCAGCAAACCGGTTTACTCATTCACATGTGTCGGCTCTCCACCCCACATCTCAAGACGAGACATGAAGATGGAAAACACGGAAGCCAGCATAATACCATCAGCCACTGCAGCACGAGGCTAGAGCAGCTTACAAGAAACTCCACAACCAGTCATCATCAGCCCAGAAGGACCAACTCCGGTGCGGGAGGGTGGCTCGACACATTGTGAGATAGTTGAATGGATAAACAGTTTTCATCATGTCAAGTGAAGTATAGGTGTGCAAATGAAGATAACTCACCCGAGCTGAATTGGTACAAGTTCTTAAATATTATTAGGACATGCTGTGGTATCTAGTGTAATCTGAGCAACGGTCAGTTGATGGTCTCAACACAACAAGTGCTTAGGAAGTTTTGAGAAGAGGTATCGTATCAGAGTAAATTTTTGGTATATGGGTATCTTCATTAGGTTCAGAAGCAGAACTGAATGATTTAGGTCTCATCATATGATAGGGGAAGAGAGAGAAAGTAAAATCGTGTGTGACTGACCTACTAATCAAGTATGAAACCCGACAAAGCCCGATAGGCCGAATCTACTAGTTATGTTGCTAATGCCCAAGTCAGCGGTTGACCTAGTATTTGTCTCCAGAAAACATAGGGTAGATGGTGCTTCAGATGGTGATGCATGTTTAGTTCAGTGCGCTCAGGAGATCGCGAGAACAGTGTGATAAGAGATCATCAATAGCGACAGGGAAGTAGAGGGAGAAAGTTGTAGTCGTAGGACACGAGATGGAGAGCGCGTCTCCAACTTACCTCTTACCATATTTTGGCGAAGAAAGAGTTGGGCAGCCAGCACCCATTCCCAATGGTGCCACATCTACCTAAGATACTCTCTCGAAGCTTGCTTAGCTTTGAGGCTTGATGTATCGCTCTCTGCGCGATCAACACCGGGCCGCAGGTACAAGGCGGAGAATATGGTAGTTGAGGAGTTGAAGAAGCATGAAAGTTGACGAAGCTGCAAAATTCTGCCGAATGAAATTTAAGGGAAAGGCTGGCCGCTAGTGGAGCCAACCAGCTGTTGGCTGGGCGGGGCAGGCAAATCGATAAGGTACTGTACATTGGTGGGCTCCGGCGATGTTAGTACGGATTTACCTAAACTTTTATGTAGCATCCGCCAACTCTCAAAGCTTCAATTGCAGCTCGTACTGAGCTTCTACATACACAAAAGACTCAAGTTACGAGCCAACGAGTGCGTGTGATTACATATTCGCCCAGCCGATCGCATACAACCAACACAACATCCAGACCACCATGACGGACCGGAGAAGAATCAATGGTCCCGTGGGAACTACTCTGCCTCCGGTCTACGACAGCCCTCCTCCCCCTCGGCAACGCACCGAGAAGCCCGAAAATGCCATCCGCAAGATTTGTACGTAGCAAGCTGCGGCACGGCTACTCTGTGCGCACCTGACCCTTTCATCCGCTAAATTTATCTTTATAGTCATGAAAACAGGCGTCACGCCATCCGCTTCTGGATCTGCCTACCTGGAGCTTGAGAGCCCAAATGCGACTGGCCCTAGCAACACGAGCCTCAAGTTGACCTGTACGGTCCATGGCCCACGAGCCCTTCCGCGATCAGCGCCCTTCTCTCCCCACATCATTCTCACAACACATGTCAAATACGCGCCGTTTGCGACGAAACAACGCCGCGGCTACTTGCGAGATTCGAGCGAGAGAGATCTTGGCGTACACCTGGAAACTGCATTACGAGGGGCTATCATCGCAGACCGGTGGCCCAAGAGCGGTGTTGATATCGTCGTCACGGTGATGGAGGGCGATCAGGACCGCAATGCACCTGAGAACCAACACGACGAAGGCTGGGATACGATGAATGTGTTGAGCGGCTGCATCACTGTGGCCTCGGCCGCCATTGCCGATGCAGGCATCGACTGCGTCGACACCGTAGCTGGAGGTGTCGCAGCGCTAGTCGCCAAGGACCCGACAAGCCCACCAACCATCGTTCTCGACCCAGCCGTTGTCGACTACCACAGGATATATGCTGCTTGTTGCATTGCTTACCTGCCCACCCGAGACGAGGTTACGAATATCTGGTTCAAGGGCCAATTACCGGGCGCTGATGTTATGCTGTACAATAACTTGGTAGAGAGATCGCTGATTGCGTGTCGCAATGCCAATCGCGTTGTCGTTATGGCTTTGAGGAAAACCATAGATCCCGAGCAAGAAGTATCATGACAATTGCGGATTCCAGTCAACAACCATCGGAACGACTTGAGATCATAGCGTATAATCAGCCTGATTTGTTCTACAGGTTGCCAGTCCTTGATCAAATCAACATTGGAGCTGAGTCCCATTTAGACCAATGGGACGATAGCATGATATAAATATGCCCAAGTCGGGGCATCAAACATCACACATAGGGGCAGGTTTAGCGCCATATGTGCCCAGGCAATTAGGTAGTTATTACCGGCTGTCTTCAATAGGTGGGAGCCTTACTTACGGCTCGCCTAGATGTTGATGGTAGAACTGAACGGAGAGTTGTAGCCTCGAAGTTACTGGTGCTTTTGCGAACATTGAGTTGTCAACAGCGAGTGCGACACTAAGCGGATATAACGGTCTAGCCAGTTGTTTACCGACCTCAAAAGTATAAGTCCGTGTCAGAGGTTTGCAGGTT